GGCTCTTGACATTGAGACGTTTTCACATGCATTTCTAATCTTTATATACATGACTATCACTGGTCACAGTCACCCACCTTCTGAGCTCCTTGGCATCTGAGCATGGATATAAAGTCATAGGTAGATTTCAATAGTAATGTTTTTCACATCTACTAATTATTAAGGAGCAAATTTTTATGTTTTGAAGAATTATTATTTTTTAATCATTCTATATTTAAAAAAATTTTTAATAACTACATGATTAGAAGCTTTTCACTACAGCTTTAACATATTCAGTAACATTTTTCTGAGCTAGGGTACATCTCTTTCAAAATTGGCTGTACATTTCTAGGTTTACAGATGAATTATTATGCTTATATAATCTTTAACTCATTATAAACTCTATAAGACATAAAATTAAATGAGGTTTTAACCTTTAAAAAAAAAAATCTCCATTTCATTTTAGACTATATTGTTCCTTGCAGAAAGACTCATTGTTTTTGCTACCAACACTGAGATGTTGGTGCTTGTATTTCCAATCTGTATGTATCTGACTATTGCCAGTCATAATCAGTTGCACTTGGATCCTTGGTGCATGTGTATGTGTACAAAGTCATTGGGAAGACTTCAACGGTATTGTCCACCACCTCTACCAATCAGCATGACACAAACCTTCATGCCTCCTCCTCAAATATAATACATCCTTTAAAATTTATTGATTTTTGTGTGTGTATATCACACAGACCATCCCAAACTATCTCATTTGACTATACACCCACTTCCCAGATAGCACCCTCCCATAGCCTCCCTCCCCCCACTAGAGCCCTTACACTCTACTTATCCCTGCTACTGTCTGCTGTGTTGTCGGCACCCCCGGCCATTCTCTACTACTTGCCCTTCTGGTAAATCTAATCAGCCTATCTAGAGGTCTTTGTTTTAGGAGGGTCAGCTGTTCCTCATCTAGCAGTAATTAGTTGACAATATTTGAGACAGAGTCTCCCTGAAGTCCCAGCTGGCCTGGAACTGGCTATGTAGGACAGGTTGGCCTGGACCTCACAGAGATCCTCTTGTCTTTGCCTCCTGAGTGCTGGGATCAAAGGCATGGGCCACCATCCCTGGCTAGTGTTTTATTTTGTTTCCCCCAAATTATCTTAAAGAGGCTGCAATGAACTATTATTAACAAAAATACAAACTCAAAAAAGAACTTCTCATTTTTTAAGAAGCTGGGTATGAAAAAGGCAGAGACAGTGAAAGGGATGGGAAAGTGGGTAATTTAAAAAATGATAAGTACCTTTGGCAACTGTTCTTGGCATTGATTGCATTGGCACACTCTGATTTCTGTTCTGCTCCAATGCTTTCCAAAAACAGTTCATTTTCAATACTTGCCAAATTAATATTTCCTTAACTTTCTAATGGTAATGGAAGAGCAGAATCAGACTACTTAACTGGGATTTTGGCTTAAGTTTTCTTTTTATAAGATCATGTGTAGTCTTGTCTGAATACTCAGGTCAGAACACAAGATATGCTTTTCGGGGGCTGCATTTAAAAGTCTGTATTTCCTGATGGGTATGACTATAATTTTCACCATCAAAACCAACAGTTTGTTCACTTCCAGTTTACTTCCAACACCATAATCTAACCACATCACTCCACTGCTTAGCAATTGTTCAGAAAATAAGTCTTTACTCCTTTGTCTGACACAGGAGTTCCTATAAAAAGTGAACTCAGGTTCTTTTACTTCTACACTAAAAACCCTGTGAAGCCCCTGTAACTCACTCAAAATGAAGGTCTCTGTGCTCACACAGCACTAGAATCTGTACCTCCTCCTTTCTGACTGTGCTACTCTGCTTTGCTCAGATCTCCTTTGTATTCTTAGAACATGCAAGGCATGTTTCCTATGGCAATATTTCTGTTCTGTGTTCCCTCTTTCTAGAATGTTCTTCTCCAAGAAATCTACTGCATTGCCATCTTTAAATACTACCCCAAATTTTCTTTTCAAGGAAGGCTCCTACCCTAACCATTCTATTAAATAGCACAAACCCCTTTGCCCTCCATACTCTGGACACTCTACTTGTTCTTTCTTTTTTTCCTCTGATACTTATAAAATAGTTTATTATGTATAGGGCATCACTATTTGAATGTAATTTCTAGAAGACAATTTTGGTCCCTGAGATATCTCAAGTAGGTAGGATATTACCTGACACATTAGTTTAGGTACTCAATAAGTGTTAAGTAAATGAATGAATGAATGGCTTTTGCCACACTATCCCAAATTTGAGTACAAATAGTAAATGGGCAAACAGATGTGGTTATCAGTGTTCCTCTTTCAACTACTTCAGGGCCCCTTAATTGGGGGGGGGTCTTGAATTGCTCTTAAAGGAGAGTCCTCCTTCATATAATAATTACAATTGTCTCTGAAAACCAAGAAACATAATCAAATACTCCACTGCCAAAAATCAAACATTTGCGTCTTAAAACCAAGAAACATAATCAAATACTCCACTGCCAAAAATCAAACATTTACATCTTAACACAGATGTTCTATAACCAAACCTTAGTCTAATTCATGAGACTTATCTTCTACCACCTTCTTTTAAAAGTTCCAGAACCTTGCCACAGAACATACCACTTATTTTCACCTCATACATGCCACACTCTGAGCATTCTTTTTTACCTTTTGAATGCTGTATGGCTTTCACCACACAAAGCAAATAATAAATTGATACAGCTTTTTTCAATGCCCTAGGAAGCAGTCCCTCCCTCCTATGCTCCCAAAGCACTTAACACCTGTATTAAAGAAAAAAAAAGTACTTATGTTTGTGTCTATGTTTCCAGTAGTCTGTGGATTACTTATTTTTACTCTTTATACTCAACTTCTTTCAAACTCATCAGTAGCTGGCATAGTGTACAAGATGTAAAACACATTGAATAAATTTGGTAGTTTAAGAATGCGTATGGCTTTACTATTTTCTGAGTTCTTAAGTTTTTAAACTATTTTATTTTTATATGTATGAGTGTATTGCCTGCATGTGTATAAGCATACCCATGTCCTGTGATGCCCACAGAGGTCAGAAGAGGGCACTGGATACCCTAGAATTGGAGTTATGGATAGTTGTTAGCGGCTATGTGGGTGCTGGGAATTGAACCTGGGTCCAAGAGCAGCCAGTGCTCTTAATTGATGAGTCATCTCTCCAGCCCCCTTTACTAAAGTTTTATAGTACAGATTAGCAACAATCGCTTTTGAGGCTTTTATAACCCATCCCCTCAAGGTCTAGAAATTGGAATCTGAATGTATTAATTTTCTTAAACTAAAATAATCCAAAACCTTAAATCAGTGATGTATAAACAGTTTAACTGTAGCAGCCTTTTAATTGCCACTAGATCAAATGAGATCAAGGAAAGCCTACAAGTTGGAATTAAGTTGAGTATACATTTGGTCAATATTCATTTCTAGGTCTCAGAAATCCCTTTTATGTTTATGTTTATCTTATGTTATGTTTTAAGTTTATGTTAAAGATAACCTTGAAAACTAGCCAAGGGCTACTTTCCAGATGACCCATGGCCTGAAAAACCAATTATGGTTAATGCTTTACTTCATTCACAAAGTATCCTAAATTTACATCATTTGAATTTGCATTGAGGAAAGTTTTTTTTCCCCCCATTGAGGTAACTTTACAGAGGAAAAAAAAAATCACTTGTAATATAAAGCTAATCCTACCTATTTCCCAGAAGCCTGAGGAGATTTAAGAATTTCTACAGTTGGGTGTCTGCTAGGGTACAGGGCAGACGAGGGCTTCGGAAAAGGTGCTTTCACTTATTACAGCATGAAGTGATTGCTTGAGTTCTTGGCCCCGCGGGCGGGCACGCAGATGCAGATGCTGTACTCGAGTTCCACCAGCATCCACCAACGGCCCCCCCATCCCCCACCAACGCCCCCCCTCCCATACCCCACCAACGCCCCGTGCGATCCAGTGCAGAGGCAGGAAGGCCCTGGAGTAGGTGGGGCGGGAATACCGACACGCGGACCACCGCGCTCACGCCCAATTTGCTCATCCCACCGGACCCCCGCTGCCAACACATCCGGTGCCCGCACCATTTGCGCATGAATCTCCCACCCTCCGGCTCGCAACCCGCGAAGTACCTTACCGCTCGCCTCCACAGGTCACAAACCCGCCAGCCTGGCCACAGCTCGCGCCTATGTGAAGCTGTTGAGAGCGAGATGGCTCACTCTTTTCTTTCCATTGGGTGCAGTGACCGTCAATCAATGGGGTCCGGTGGGCGGGACTAAGCCTTGAGCGCCGAGTGTTCTCCTAGCAACCACCTGGCGCGTGCGCAGCTGCGGTGAGGCCTGAGGCTACCGTTGGGTAGCGGCTGCTGGCGCCGGGCGTGGTTTGGGGACATGGTGAGTGTGGCATTTCACCCGAGCAGGGACAGGATTTGGATTATGAAATGTATTCCATCTTCTGTTTGCCGTGATTGTGAGGCTAGAAGATGGGTCTCCATTTCCTCTCCTCATCCACTACATCCAGCAGTCTGTGAAGGATGGGCCAGTGCTAGAGACAGCATCCTGTAGTCAGAAGGGACCTGAGGGGCTTCAAGATCAGGAGGCCTGGGCAGCATACCCACTCAACCACTAGCAGTAGGGGGGCTCTCAGTCACTGATAGTGGCGGGACTCTCAGTCACTGACAGTAGGGGGCACTTAGCAACTTGACAGTAGGAAGTATTAGTTGGGGGTATTCAGCCACCAACAGGGGGCACTCAGTCACTGACAGCAGAGTGGCCACTGGTTCAGCCACTGATGGTGGGGCAACACTCCGTCAGCCACTGTCAGGCAGGGGGCCACTGACAGCCACAGAGCATGAACTCAGCTACTGGGGCGGACACTGACTGTGGTCACTAACAAGCGAGAACCACTGATAGCTAGTGACTCCTACCACTGACAACTCCAGCCACTCACAGCCAGGGAGCTACTTACTCTTCCTGCTGAGAAAATAAGCTCACATGGCTGCCCTGGATCTAGGAATCATCAGACTCTGAAGCTCTGGAACCAAGAATCCGCAGCTAATAACTTGTATAAATCAGGCCACTTAGATCCACAGCAACCTCCTTCACCCCTACCTGCAGACAGAAGAATCTGTAGTAGCTTTGTGACTCGTGTTGCTAGCAGAAAGTAACGAATAGCAGAAAGGCCCTTCAGCTTCCATATGTTAAGTGCATCCTGGTAACTGGACAAACACCCTCATCCATATGCCTGGAGTAGCTGTTCACCAAAAAAAATGTGGTTTTTACTTTTGTGTTTCTATAATATTAGACACTAGTGGAGAATGAGAGAAGATAATTGCGTTTCAGTCAAGCATTCTCCCAGCACAGATAATGTTACATGCTGGTATATATGAAGAGTACATATAGGCTGGATGTTGTGCAGGCCTTTAATTCCAGCACTGAGGAGGCAGAAGCAGCTGGATCTCTAAGTTCAAGGCGAGCCTGGTCTATATAGTGAGTTCTAGGCCATCTTGGGTGACACAGAGATCCTGTCTCAAAAAGGGGGGGCGGGAACACATATTTCTTCAATGAATACTTTTCTGATAAGCCAAGACTAACTGCACTCTGATATAACATCACCCACTATTCTGAGCCATCTTTCTTAGAAGGTGCTAGTTGGAAGGGAAAATCTAAGATGAAAAAGGAACTACACTTTTAATCAAGATCCTAGTAACCGTACTCAGGAGACTAAGGTGGTCTGAGAGTTCCAGGCTAGCCTGGGCTCCAAAGGGAGACCTGGAGACCTTTCATCAAAAGATGAAAAAAAAGTTTTAATAACTCAAAGCACAAATATTAATGGTGGGAACTTGAAGTCATTATATTGTAGGAAGTAGGATACTTGAATAAGCTCATTTGTTAGATTTAATTAGTTATTCTAGTTATATAGTTTAGCTTCCACCCACATGTGTATTTCTTACAGGCATCCAGCCATTGTATGAATTTAGAACAATGGAAGAAAAAAGCAGCAAAAATTGAACTGAATGAAGCTCAAAAGCAAGAAATTAAAGGGGCCTTTGATGTATTTGATGTTGATGGATCTGGGACCATAGACGTGAAAGAACTGAAGGTTCTGAAATTATTTCTAAAACTTTTAAAAAATATTTTAAAATAATTTTACTCAAATAAATTGGTTTATCTGGGCCAACTGTATGGTCTTAAACACCCAAAAGGAAAGTGATCAATATAATCACTTAAACACCCAAAGATTAAAGTGATCAATCTAATTCTTTAAGAGTCCCTGTGTATAGCTAAGAGCTACATAACAAGAAACAATGCCAGACAGGAGATACCTTCCTTTGAGTTGTTGGCCAGGGTGGCCCAAGAGACTCCCAGACAGTAAGCCAGCATAGAGCTGGGAAAATGAACATCAGACCCCAATCTTATCTAAAGGAATATTGGCAACTGCTTGCTGCTTGATGAGGAAGAACTGATCTTCCTAAAAAAGGAACTCTAGATAGGCTGACTAGACTCAGTGGAAGGATAAGCACTGGGGAACGGCTGGGGGCACCGACAACACAGTGGACAGTAACAGGGATGACAGAGTACATGGGGTCCAGTGTGGGGTAGGGGGCTATGGGAGGGGACATTTGGAATGTGGGTATATAGATGAATAAGATTGTTTAGGATGTCCTGTATGAAATAGACACACAAAATATCAATAAATAAAAAATATGAGTTATATTTGAGGAAGAAGCCTAAAAATTGCTTCGTGTTAATTAGTAGATGTGAAAAACATTACCACTGAAATCTACCTGATGACTTTATATCCATGCTCACGTACCAAGGATCTCAGAAAGTAACTGAATGTGACTAGTAATAATCATATATAAGAGATTAGAGACACGTGCAAACATCTAAGTGTTAGTTGCATTAAAAATGAGTTTTTCTGTATGATACAGTATATTTTAAAATGAAATGGAGATCTTTTTTAAAGGTTAAAACCTCATTCAATTTTATGTCTTATGGTTTATACTGAGCACAATATTGTTTAACAGTATTAATTCAACTGTGAACCTACAAATTTATAGCCAATTTTGAAATAGATGCATCTTTGCTCTGGAAACAGTTATTGAATATATCAATGCTGCTATAATAAAATGCTTCTACTAATTATGTGGTTATTAAATAAATAATAAAAAAAATAATTTTGCCTATATCCCCTAGGTCAATCAAGAGTGGCAAAAGTCACTATATTTTTTAAGGACTGTTCCAAGTCCTTGAAAAATACAGAAGATACACTGAAATCCAACACAACATTAAGCAAAGTATAAGACAAGAGATCAATTTAACATTAACATTAAAAGGAGAGCAAGAGCCGGGCATGGTGGCACATGCCTTTAATCCCGGCACTTGGGAGGCAGAGACAGGTGGATCTCTGTGAGTTCAAGGCCAGCCTGGTCTATATAGCAAGTCCAGGCCAGCTGGGACTACAGGGAGTACAGGGAGACCCTGTCTTAAAAAGACCAAAAAAAAAAAAAAAAAAAAAAAAAAAAAAAAAAAAGAGAGAGAGAGCAAGTATAACTGAATTGCAAGTTCTGAATGCAAATAAAAGAGTCTAGAAAGCACATTTAACTATGATCAGTCATTAATGGCATCCTCCCCACAAAGACATAGGTCTGCCTGGGAGCAGAAAGACAGGCAGAATTTATGAACTCTTAGTACAGCATGCAGAATTCACTTGAACTGAACTTACAGACATGGTATAATGAAATAAGATCAACTTCCAAGTAGAAATCATCATATAACTGATGATAATACTCTATACATATTAGCTGTGCACAAAATATTAAATGGCACTGAAATGTAAATGGTTGGCATAACTTTGTCAAAGCTTTTCAAGAGATTTAAAACACACAAGGACAATTTTAATAATATAAATTCAATCATCTAGAAAAATTAATGGACAGCTACTATGTGTTCTAAGCAGAGGAATGAAACAAATTTCACAAAAATTAAAATCAATATTTTAATTTTGCTTTTATGTTTGTGTTTTGGTTTTTTATTTTAGTTTCTAGAGACAGGGTCTCCTTGTAGCCCTGGCTTGTCTGGTACTTGTTATGTATACCAAGCTAACTTAGATTTCACAGAGATCCACCTAAGTTGGCCTCTCCAGTTCTGGGATTACAAGCATGTGCCACCACTACCAGTGCTAAAGTCAACATCTTAATTGGAAAGTACATTTTATGAGGCTGGAGAGATGGCTCAGCAGTGAAGAGCTGTTGCTGCTCTTGCAGAAGACCTGTATTCCAATTTCAGCATCCACATGGTGGCTAACAACTGGCCACAACTCCAGTTCCAGGGGATCCACTGCCCTCCTGTTCCCCTATGGGCAGTGCACAACAGGGGGTACATTTACATACATACAGGCATAACACTCATACACATGAAATAAAAATAAATAAAAGGAAAATATTTTCTATGAAGTTCTCAACACAGTAAATTTTTTATGCAAATCAGAAAAATAAAATAAATTCAAACGTCACAGAATAAGTTTCAAAATTTAAATTTAAAATGATCATACTCCTACTAAAGAGAAAATGCTTTTATAGAGAATTATTTATTCAAATATGAAACTACTGATTATTGAAGATAATAAAAAATTTCTTCATCTTGTTCTACAACATAGTGAATTAATATTCTTGATCACATTCCTAAAAATTATTTTAGCTGATTAAAAAATAGACTATTTGATTCTGAGAAGAGATTCATTATAATCCATCTAAAATGTTTCCCATTTTAAAGTTAAAACTAAAAATTTCTGAAGAACTTATGCTATTTGTATGACTTGTATTCCAAATGTGCCAATGCACACAACACTTAGAATTTAATTATGTATTAAATATTTTCTATAAGTAATAAAAGTATTGAATTAGATGCAGGAGAGATGGCTCATGGGTTAAGGGCACTGGCTGCAGTTGCAGCGGACCTCGATTTTATTTCTAACACCCACATGGCAGCTAACAACCATCTGCAACTCCAGTTCCAGGAGAATCCAACACCCTCCTTTATCCTCCACAGGCATTGCACTACATTGACAGCAGTGAAGCAAAGACTTGAGTGAATGCATGATGAAAAAGACACATTTAGCAAAAATTTGAATTTATGTGGGAGTGAGGGGTCATGAGAGAACTTGGAGGAGGAAAGGGAAGGTTGAAAATGATGGAAATACAGCACTCATGGATGACGTTTTCAAAAACACTTAAATTGAACAAAGTATACTGAAATAAATGTTAGAAATGTTGAACAATGTAATCAACTAGGGTCTAATTTTCTTTTAATATTTTATATCTGTAAGAGAATTGCTTAGGAAATTAAGGTTGTAGCTGTACATTTCTTTTTTTATAAAGAAGTGACAGGATTGGAGATATGGCTCAGCAGTTAAGGCACATACTGCTCTTTCAGAGGACAACACAAGCTTGGTTCTCAAGCACCTGTATTAGGTGACTCATCACCACCTGTGACTCTAGCTCCAGGGAATTTGTAGATGATTTCTGGCCTCCTCAGGAAACTGTACTCATGTTTAGCCACAAAGTCACACAAGCAGATGAATAAGCTTTTAAAAAATAGATCTTTAGGTAGTGTTCTAGTTTTCCCTAAATTGCTGTGATAAAAACACTGACCAAAACCAACTGGGGAGGAAAGGGTCTTATCTGATGTACAAGAACGGTCCATCATCAAGGGAAGCCAAGATATGAATTCAGGGCAGGAACCCAGCGCCCAGACCATGGAGGACGGCTGCTTACTGGCCTGTGCTCAATCTACTTTCTTTTTATAAAATATTTTATTATTATTTTGACAGAGCATAGAGTAGGGGTTTATTTACAGGAGACTGGGTGCCCCACAATTACAGCTGTGCCATAAAGTCCACTCAAATACAGATCCTGTGACCTGACAGCTGCACAAAATGGTGAGAGAGAGGCCTCTTAGTGTTCTGGGCTTATAGATCCTTTGCCCCTCCCCACCACATGCTGCTAAGGTGGACTGATTGGGTGAGGGGGTAACTGATTACCCCCTCCTTGATGAACATGGGAAGATGTGACTATAGCTTGCCAGCATAGTGGTCAGAGGACATTTCCAGTTAACACTCCACCCCTTCCTCTGGCTCTTACATTCTTTCTTACAACCTCTTCTGCAAAAGTCCCTGAGCCTTGGAGGGGGTGGTAGGTGTGGGATGATCTTCCTCCAGTTGTGGCAAGGCACTGAACTTTTGGGTCTCTGCATCATCTGTTTTTTATGGACTGTTGGCCAATTTCAGTAGGATTCCATCTACATCATGTGGAGGCCAGATCCAGGTGCTCTTAGGTTATCTGCTGTGTTCTCAGGATCTAACCCTCATGGAGACCAGCTCTAAGGCATTTTTTAGAAACCATGCTTTTTTCTGAAGTTCTGTTTGGGGGATTGAACCTGGGGCCTTGCACCTGCTAGACAAGGTCTATACCATTAGGTTTGCACCAGGTCATACTTGTGATATTTTTTATATCTTCAACAGTAGTCTTCTGAAATATTTGTACATATACCTGCCCTCTGTTAACAAAATAATGAGTAAGTCAAAACCCAGAGTTAACACATACTCTGTCACAGTAGGATTGGATCTAGGTCCACTGACCTAGTTTCTAGGTTTATGACCCATCCGTTTGAAAAAAAGAGAGAAGCAATTAGTAATTTAAAAGCTCAGAATGAAATCATGGTGTATTAAAATGTATTTCCTTCCTATTTCAGATTACAATGCGGGCTTTAGGATTTGATCCAAAGACAGACGAAGTTAAACAACTGATATCAGAAATGGACAAAGAAGGGACAGGCAACATTTGTTTTGAAGATTTTTTTGCCATTATGAGTGTAAAGGTGGTATAGTCGTAGTTCCATTTTTTCTAAGAAATACAACCAGAAACCTACATGTTGGGGCTGGAGCAATCAGAGGCTTCATGGAAGAATTGGAACTAGGTTTTTAAGGATGGGTGGGGTTTTATAGAAAAGCAAAATTAAAGATGTTGTCGAGTGCTAAAGAAAAGGATAGGCACTACTGCTAGGCATAATTCCTGAGAATCTACCTGGCTCTTGAACTTACATTTGGTAATGAGCTAATAAGAGGTACATTTTCTTTATAACCTTGGGCTCCTTCATCCTTCCATAAATATAAAGTACCTTATCCAGGTGTGGTGGCACAGGCCTGTGGTCCCAGCACTTGGGAGGCAGAGGCAGGTGGATCTCTGTGAGTTCAAGGCCAGCCTGGTCTACATAGTGAGTTCCAGGACAGCTGGGGTTACAGGGAGACCCTGTCTCAAAAACACCAATATATATATATATGTATGTATGTATAAAGTACCTTGAGGGCTGATGTGAGTACATTGGAATAATTGTTAAAAGAGCAATAAAGTGAGAGCCTTTGTGGTACATACATACATACACACATAAGCTCTAGACTCCAAAGACATCATAAGTCCAGTTGAAACAGTAAATAAATGAAGACTAATGACTTTTCATTTTCTAAAGAGTGAAAAAGATGAGAAAGAAGAAATATTGAAGGCTTTCAAATTATTTGATGATGATGCCACAGGAAGTATATCCCTAAATAACATCAAAAGTGTTGCCAAGGAACTAGGGGAAAATTTAACAGAGGATGAGCTGCAGGTAAACCTAATTCATTTTATAATGTGCATATATTTTACATGACTTATATAACTAGGTATACTCACACATTAAAAACAAAAAATTCCAGGCTGGAGAGGTGATTCAGCAGGTAAGAGCACTGGCTGCTCGTGTACAGGACATGGGTTCGATTCCCAGCACCCACATGATAGCTAACAACTGTCTGTAACTCCAGTTCCAGGGGATCTGACACCTTCTTGTGACCTCCATGGGCATTGCATGACACAGGTGCATTTATACACATGCAGGCAATACATTTACACATAAAAAAAATAAAAAATTATAAAATATTTTTAAACAAAAATTCCTGTTGTGTTTATGTCATATCATTATACATTTATAATAGATTTGATATATCATGGTACATGTTGTTTTACAGGAAATGTTCGATGAAGCTGATCGTGATGGGGATGGAGAAATAAATGAGGAAGAATGTTTGAGAATGATGAAGAAGACCACTCTTTATTAATTCTATCTTTTGTGCCTTCTAGGAAGTTCTTGACAATTTATCTGTTCTGCGGTTTGATAATGTAATACCTTAGTGTATTCATTTTCCATTTTTAGTTTATATGCTTATGCTTAGATTAGTCTCTTGGTAACTAATCCATGTAAGAAGCTACATGTCTCTTTCACTGCTATTAAATCTGTAGTATCAAGAAACAGAATAATTGAACTGCAAATCCAAAACCAGGATTATTTTCAACTGACATTATTAAAGTCCTAGGTTCTAAAGACTTAGAATTCTTTTATTTTAATGAAATAGTCAAATGAATTTAGTTTTAAAAAAGACCCAAACATATTTTCCTATAATTTTCCTTTTGTATGGCTTTTTAAAAACTTCATAAACATGTGTTCTTAAATCAGTTCTTCAAATATGTAAAGCATTAAATAAAACTGGCTGATGATTACAGTATTTCTAATTTTCTTCTGATAAGCACTGTTGTGTTTTGAACATCCCTCCTTCCCCAATTCAAGTGTTGCCGATATGATAATGTGAAGGATTGTCTCCTTTAAGAGGTGAGCCACTAGGACTGCTTCTTTGTTAGTGAGGTTAAGGCCTTTTTAAGAGTCTTACAGGCCTGTGAGATGACTCAGTAGGTAAAGGCACTTGTCATCAAGCCAGACAACTTGAATTCAATTCCACATGAACGGCCTTCTACAAGTTGTCATCTAATCTCCACATACATGCAATGATTGGTGCACCCACATACACACACAAACGTAACTTTAAAAATTCTTTTTAAGAGTCTACTTTAAAAAAGAGACTCTACACAGTTGGAAGTTTGCACTTTTGTGTTCTGTCATGTGTCATGGAAGCACACAGTAGGATAGTTACTGGTAATCATAGACTTCCAGGCTTCCAGAACTGTGGCAAGTAAATATACATTCACCCCCCCCGCCCTTTTTTTGGTCCTTTTGAGATAGGGTCTCCCTGCAGCCTTGGCTGGCCTGTAACTTGCTACATAGACCAGGCTGGCCTTGAACTCAAAGAGATCTTCCTGCTTCTGGCTCCCAAGTGCTGGTAAATACCATTCTTCATAAATTACCCAGCTTATAATATTTTTCTGAGAAAGCAAAAATGGAGGGTAGGCACAGGTAGCAGGAAACTAGGATCATCTGGGAAACAACTTTGGGAACTATGGGTTCAATCTAAACCTTTTACTTATTGCCAGTCAGCTTAGATTAGATCCACATCATTATATTCTTCACAGAGCTTGGTTCATAAGAATATTTTTTCCCTCATTATGTAGTCTGGGTTAGCCTTGAACTCATGATCTTCCTGTCTCATCCAGGTGTTTGGATCATGTATATGTGCACCACCAATAACTGTTTTACAATTTCAAAATTTTGATGTTGATGAAAACACTGAAACATTTCCTTCTAGTATCCGTAAACACTGCTTTAATTTCAGCCATCTTTATGACTATTTTAAAACTAACCGAATATTATGGATTTGATCTTGCTCTCAAGAAAGGAAGAGAACTGTAGATAACTAGGCAAGACTGGATTGATTTGGCTAAAAACAAGTCAATTCTGAGATCTTCAGAAGAATACTCCAAGCCTTATTGTGTAAGGTGAAATCTCATCATTTTACCTATTTTTGCCTGTGAAGTAATATCCATAACTTCCTTTATTAAACAAAATTTGTAAATTTCAAAAATATTTTGAGATACAAGCACCCTTATAATTCAACTTGCTTACCTGGCAGGCACAGATACCTGAGTGCATTCCAGAATCGCTCGAGTTCGAGCAATTTTCCTGTTTCAGCAGCAATTTCCCTGTTTCAGCAGTATTCCCAGGATCTTTTGGGGTTTCAAGACATTTTGTTGGGCACATGAGAACAAATCTCTGAAGAAAGAAAACACATCTAATGCTGATAAAACTCGATCGTCTCAAAAGTAAAGCTTGTTTGAAACAGAAAATTCAATGGTGTGATAAAGAACCCCATTTTCACTTTCATCATTAGCCCTCAGATAGGAGTAATGTAATCATTGTGATAATAAATACTATTAACGGATGGATCGTTGCTTTTTTTTTTTTTTAATCACTGTGGAGTTTGAACACCTATAGAAATCCTCTATAGACTTTAACGGTTGAGCTATACTCAAATGGAAAATAAATGCCTACAACATCTATGGCAAAGTTATTTTATATGAAGTGTCCTTCCTCCTAAGACCTCAACATTCTCTGAGGACCTGTGGGAGTTAATGGTTGTTGGGACAGGAAGAGACTTTTTTTCAGTGGTGTAGTTACTGCTAAAGTTTCTATGCTTCTGAAAACAACTCCAATGAAACTCACTGGGTCACAGAAACATGAAGACATGAGGAGGACTAAGTTGAAGCCGAAGATCAGGACTCAGAGGGGCATGAGGAGAGGGTAAGGGGGGTGAATATGATCAAAATACATTATATACATGCATGAAAAGGTGGCAATGAAAAAATATTATTATGCATAATTGATATATGATAAAAAAACCTTTTAAAGGTTTGTATAGATGGAATAAATTTTTAAAATCCAATAGAGAAAAGACTGGATAGACCATGTTTAGGAAGGAAAAGAAAAATAGATTCCAAATATAGGATTATTCTCTCATAAGAAAAATGAAGTTTTCAAAATATGAAAATTTTCTTAGTCTTTTATTAATGATGCAATTTGGCAAAAGGCTTTAAGGAGACAATGTCTACCAAAATATTTATAATGCTTATAGCTTTTGAGCTAACTATCTTATATGAGTTAATTCTACAAATATGTGTCTAGAGACATGTATAAGAAGATTTAAGTGGGGCTGGAGAGAGAGATGGCTCAGCATTTAAGAGCATTGACTGCTCTTCCAGAGGACGCTTCTTCAGTTCCCAGCACCCATATGGTAGCTAACAACCCAGATCTGACACCCTCTTCTGATTTCTGTTGGGAAGAGCTGGGCATGACTGGGAAGGAGTCTTTTATTTAGAATTCTTTGAACTTGCTCATGTATATTTTTCTGTACATTTACATTGTTTGAAATACAAATTTTTCAACAATTGAAGGGCTGTAAGTTTTACATATGAAACATGTTATTAAGGACATTTTTACCTAGTCTAGAAGGAAATGCTACATAAGTAAGAATTAAAGATATTGTGAAAACACTCAGGAATGCTTATGAATACATGCCATTACAGACTTAATTTTAAAAAGTATACCCCCCCTCATTTACAAAATTTTACCTCCATTTCAATTGACCTAAAACTGAACTGAGTGGGATCATTAAAGTTACATTTCATAAAAACCTTTCTTGTTTCAGAAATGGATTGGTTCTCCATCAATGTTCTTGCTGGGCATGTGGCACCTGCTATCTCTTACCAGAAGCAAAACTATGAGTACTTCTGCCAGTACATCATGGTATCAGTCATGTGCCAGATGGAGGAGTGCTTCACTCACAAGGGCAAGGCCAGATTGGGGGCCTGGGTGTTGGTTTCCCATGTCTAATGATTCCTCCCAGAAGCCAACACTTGCAACTGCTTGCACACACCCCTCTGGTGCTGCAACAGAAGGGCTTAGTCTCTCCACAGGAACAGACAGTGTTGGGTTGGTCATTTGCCATATGATGCTTATGGTAAAACAGAATGGATGAGTGCACATGGATTCTGATGGGAAAGATGGAAATGATATTCCTATCTGAGGAGACACATTCAGCAGCCTGCCATGTCCTGGGAGGAGCACTACGTGGTCAGACAGCCTCCAGTCTACAGCTGAAGAAGCCAAGGCTTACATGCTAAATAAACCAAATCCTTCCAGCAACCCTGAGGATGAATCTGGAGGAGAGTCTTTTTTAAGTAGATCCTTGAGATGGACTACAGCCTCAGTTGACAACATTGATTACAACTGGTAAAAACTCGACACAGAGGAATGGGCTAAACCAAGACTGGACTCATCACCTATAGAAATGAGATAATAGCTGTTATTTTTAAGCTACTAAGTTTTGGGATAATAAGTTATGCAGAACTAGCCCTCCCTTTTCCCACCTTGAATAGCCATCTCTTATGTTGAAATGTGTGTGTTGACTGCTCCCCTATGGGACTGCTAGATTTACAAATAGCCAAGTAATTATCCTAGCTATTAGATACTTAAAAAAACATACATTACTAACACATCTGAAACTGTGAGTTCTTTGCCTCATTCTAAAGCATAGATACGATGAGGATCATGAGGACTTCAGTCAATTAATGAAAAGTATAAAGAATTTTTTAAAGCTCTGTTTTGTATTCCTGCAAATATCTGGCTGCCACTTGGATGGTCCGTTCCTCTGAGCCATTGGTTGGGAAAGATGTCCTAGAGTTCTGATTGATATTTCAATTTCTAACAATAAGAGTGTTGAAATTACAACTTCACAATAAGATTTGCTGGTCTTCTAGTAGTAGCAGAAAGAACAGTGAGTTCAGACAACTTGGTGACTATAAATACATCACAGAGCCCCAAACACCCAATCTGAGCTCTTGCTTTCATTCTAGGAAGGATAAAACTGAATATCAGATAGATTATAATTAGGCATGGGAACAAGCAGCATTCCAAGAATATAAGAAAATATAGTAAAATCTAAAGTGTCTCTCACTGTCCCAGAGCTTACCAAGTAGGCTCTGTTGGCTGAGAATCAAGTCCCTGGAATTCACCTTCTCTTCCTCCCCAGTGTGATGATTAAAGCATATGCCATTGTGGTACCTGGCTTTTTAAAGTAGGTGCTAGGGATTAAACTCAGGTCCTCACACTTGAATGTCCAGCACCTTACAGAATGAGCAACCTCCACAGTCCTGCTTGCTTTCTTTGTTTTTTAAATAATTTGTTTTGTTACAGAAAAATCAGAGACTCACAGCCAAAGTCAGGTGAGGAGAATGAACTGGCTCAGCAAACTTACCTTAGTTACTCCATTTTGTTCAGAGCTATTTTAGCAGCAACTTTGCTCCACGCCAAAAGGAAAAGGGGGGCAACCTTGGGTCTTGGGAAATTGTCCTAGCCATGAACCATGGAATGTGTTAATTTCAGACATTTTACATCTGGCTAACCAGCTTGTTTTCACTTCTGTAATCTTCTTGCTATTTTGGGTCACCTTGACACAGAGCATAAGACCACCCTTGTTATCATGTTATTGTATGACCACCTGGTAACTTCTGATTTCAGCTTTCTTACTATACTTGTTTTGGCTAGGAAGTAAACTAATTTTAAAATTATAAAGTTGATTGCCAAGTTATATGATTGTATCACTTGTCTGTATAATGATTGGTTGTTGATTAATAGATTCA